CATCCGTACATGTCGTACACCGTGTGAGGAACGGGGGTGCAGTGCCGCCGTGTGACGGTCATCGAGCGCGGCTGCGGGGCTGCGGGGCGCATGGGCTCCCCCTTTTTAGTTAACAGCTGTGAAGTGGTAGTTAGGTTATGCGGTTGGTAGGTTTCGATGAGGGAACCTCACAAACTGACACACGCACATACACACATACATACATACATACATACATATATGCGAGGTCTCACGCATATACACACACACGCGTGGCCCTTTTGCACATGTGCACATTTCGGCGCTCTGCTCTCTGAACGCATGATGTCGGGAGAGTGGATGGAGCCGTTGTTGGTGACGCCCTCTCAATAGGTTGCAAGGCCCTTTCTCGGAGTGTCTGCTGCTTGTCTGTCTGTCTGTCTGTCTGTCTGCCTCTCTGGGCATTTGCCAGTCGGCCGGTCGGTCGGTCGGTCCCCGATATGCGGATGGTAATGGTGATAGTACTAGTAAATGGTGTAATATAGTAGTGGTAATAATAGTAATAGTAATAGTGGTAATAGTAATAGTGGAAGGTCCGCCTTATTTGCTGTATGAGAGTATGTACGGCCTTCATCCACCGCCTGGGGGAGGGGCTTGCCAGTGCGCCTAGATTTGATGTATGTATGTATGTATGTATGGCTTTGGCTATGGATGGCGCGGGACAGGGTGTGTATGTCGAGGTGGCGGGGGGTGGTTGTTGCTGCTGCTGTTGCTGCTGTGGCTCTTGAAGCTTTTTCACCGCTGGGGGGTTGGGGTGGGCTTATAGGCCTCCCCCCCCAGTCTTTCCCCCCTACCCACACATACATACATACACACACACGAGTGGAAGGATGAATGAAAATGTGCGATACACGTCTCCCCCAGTCCCATCACACACACACACACATACACACACACGGGGGGGTAGCCCCGGATGGTGGAGTTGGTGTGGCTGTGCAAGGGGCTGCTAAACGGACCGCGGTGTCTTTACCCTTTTCAAATACGATATTTCATCATGATTGGTCTCTCTTTTGACATCTTTTTCTTTTTTTGGTGGTCATTTTCCAACTAGGTGACCATTATTCCCATGATGATGAGGAGGAAGAGGAAGAGGAGGAGGGGGGTCCGTTGCGGGGCTTGGGGGACTTCGGACTCAGGGATGTCGGCGGGGGGGAGGGAGGCGTTCAGGTTGTTGAGTTTTTAGAGGTTTCTAAAAGGGGTTTTTATTCTTGTTTTAGGGTTTTAGGATTGCAACAGCCATATAGATGCCATGGCTTCTAGCTGTGTCCCTCCACCATGGGATTGCTGCGGTTGTTGTCGCTGGTGGGAGGTGGGGGTCTTCATGGAGATGTGCAGGGGGTGTAGAGAGG